ATTCAAAGATAACCAAACGAACTGATGAACTTCATTTCACGCTAAAGGGGCAATAGTGCTCTTGAAATAATTTGAATTTCAAGGTCATACAACATTCTTGCACTCGACATAAAACATCACAGCTGAATTTTATCACTCATTCTAGAAAGAAAATAGTTTTCCAAAGATTTTGGCAACGTCTGGTAATCTACCGTGTGAAGATGTTGCATCTGTACATCTGCTGTACTTCGGTATGGCAATGACTTTCTAGATCATAACAAACTTTTCATGGTCATTTGTAGACGAAAATTACTGCCCAAAATATGGTTGAATATCACACGCTTACACATAGCTGTGCGTGTCACATTTGGGGGGCATTTTGTTTAGGTGTGTTTTGTATCATATCAAACATAACATTAGTGTATCACATAGATATTGAAGATTATGCGATAGAAATGTTGTCGCTTAAACATTTACCTAGGAATCCTAAAGGTTCAAATATATATTAGTCACAATAAAGGTCAATAACAGCTGTCATAAATACACCACATGATGCCCAAATCCTCAAATCAGTCGACTTAATGTTGTAAGTGAGAAGTAATTTCATTGACAAAAACATTATGGACAAAAGGAGTATGAAAATGTACAACGTGCATTATTCCTAGCAAATAGGTGGAATATCAATATATCCAATGTGATTATGATAAGAATGCCTATGCAAATCTACTTTGCATGCCTGAGCAATTAACCTAATGCCCATGCCTAATATGATTAGTCTCACAAATGACTCATACTCCTATGAAGCTTATGTAAAAATGATGTATATTCAAATAGGGCTGACCCTTCTGATCGATTACTTCATTTTGATTCATGCTTAATTTATGGCTTATGTTGAGCCTATAATCAAGAATAAATCATATGTCACAAAAGCTCCAGATCTGTCATTAGAATCGTCAGTGGGTTTGTCTTGATTATGTCTTCGACATGTTCCAAATGTGTGGTGTATGGAATCACCCAGTGCAACATTGAGTTGGAGACTTTGAGTCGGTAATACATGAAATATAATCAGCAACTCTCAATATTGGGAGTCGATTGCAATAGCAAGCATCGCACAACCAGCTCCAGGATAACGTTTTAGGATAATGGCCACAATTTGGAAGTTAAACATGAACCTGCTTCCCTAAGAGTGCTTATCTTTAATCTTGAAGATATTTAATCTTGAATTTCAATATAATATAAATGACACGTCCAGTTCCAAGTTGAAATAAGCACATGTTCGTTCACTAATTTAACTTCTGTTTAATGATGATTGTTCCCACTGTGAGCAATTGTCTCCTCTAACAGATGTCTTAATGAAAGATATTAAGAGAAATAAAGATTTTTAGGTAATTTCATTGACAACCAACATCTTAAGAGATGTATCTCTAATTTAGTATGCCAGTGTGATTTGTAGTTTGATATAGGCTAAAAATTTTACAAGCAGGATATTTTATACATAATCGAGAAACTTCGTAGATATACAAGTTGCCCAAGTAGATAAGCAATTTCTCGAGTATTGAGATATCTTGCATGAACTATCAAGTTTTGCAGGTACCTCATTGGTTGCTTCACGATGTTAGAAGGGTATAGTAATGGAAGTAGGAACGATGTTAGAAGGGTATAGTAATGGAAGTAGGAACGATGTTAGAAGGGTATAGTAATGGAAGTAGGAACGATGTTAGAAGGGTATAGTAATGGAAGTAGGAACACAGAACTTGAAGATTTATCAATATCCTGACCGGTTTTCATCTTTACAAGTGAAGCAACATCATGTAGGTCAAAGAAGCGAACATGCATTTCCTGCTCGACTATAGAATCGGTCTATAAAACATGGATTTTGCTTGAAGATAAGAGGAATGGCTTTAATTTGCTTCACAATATTCGAATTTTATCCCAAACAAATAGTGGCATTATGAGATAATTGTGGTAGTTGTATTATTGTTGCTTGAGCATGTAATGATATTTACAATGGTAAATCCAGAAACAACGTGTGTATATCGGACTCCATACAAATGTGGAAAAACAATGGAGTAATAAGTCTAATATGTTCAAAGATAAAGAAATTATGACATATACTTTTACAGAACGCCTTATAAGGACAGACATTAGTAATACGACATTAACGGCAGGAAGAAATTATGATAAGCCTAATATATTAGTACTAACAATTGGTTTGTGGAGTTTTACAAGATAAAATATTATAAGCACTCGCTATAGAGTAATCTACTTAGTGAAGAAGTCTAGAGATAACTTGTATGTGACAAGGTTGAGCTATTCTCTTACTGATGTACATAATTAGTTGTGCTGTTTTACAAACAGGAGCACCCTTGATATTTTTCCCTTATAAAATTCTGGATGTTAGAAGATTCTTATAAGAAATACAACAAAGCAATATATTATTTATTTCTTCTGCACTAGTTTATTGCCTAATAATCTTTGTTGAAACTTTTGTGCTACATGGAGTTTGATGGACTTTGTAGTGAGTAATTTATATGATAGTTCAAACCATTAGATATCATCAAGGTATGCAAAAATATCTATATGCCCAATCTTCCCCTATCATTTTGAAATAAGTAGAGGAAATTATTGTGTTTTTGCCTTGACAAAGTACAAGAAGTTGTTGAAGAATAATATTTTTTGAAACCTTAGAAACGCCTATTTTGTTCTACTTTAGAGAGTAGTAGTTCGTGCCTTCACTGGAGAATAGGGAATAGGAAGTTATGCTTATATTTGACAACATCCTCTTCTCTCTTGTTCGAAGAACTAAAGGGCGAGAAGGCATATATATAGCCTGCAAAGTGTACAACGCATGCACTTGCATTGGTCGAAAAACAATTAAGGTTCACTTTGCATTTCATATGCTTAAATCGGCATATAGGCGTTTGTGCATGCGTAAGGATCATGCTTGTGCCTCGCAATGTGCTTGCTAAACATGTATGCATTCAGGAATAAGGCAGTCGGGCCAGGCTTCTAGAAATCATTGTGGTCAAAGTTATATACAACACTACTCCTAGCGGATTGAAAAATAGCAGCCAAATTTGGGTGCAATCATTCACTTTTTGGAACCTGAGAAGCATCATAAACCAGTGTGGTTGCTAATATCTAGTTGCACGTAAGTTGATGTTACAGCTATTATAACAGTAAGGGAGAATCACAACACTTCATGGTTCAAGTGTCTCTTTTGCAATAAAGGTTTCATACAGGTTATTTGGTGTCTTGATTATCTATCTTCCTTTGAAAACTTACTCTCCATAGTACAAAAGCTAATCGAGTGCTCTAGATCTTACTCTACTTATGAATTTGCAGAAGAACGAGAATATTCAGTCATATATTTCCATGTATCTCAAGGACAAGTTTTGATCAAGAGCTTAGCTCCAGTTTTATCTTGATTAGTAAGGGACAAATATTAATTTGTGACAGCGAAACTTTCGTGCTAGAAAACTAGAAGATTGTTTTGGATTTCTTACTCCTTCCAAAGTATTTATAAAATCTTTTATTTTCTATCCCAGTCACTCAAATGATTTTTAACAAATGGTGTCCTATGAATAAAATCATGAGAAGATATGGCGCACACAACTAGTATATGGTACTTTGTGGACCCTCCATCTAGACTTAACAATGGATCATAAAGTTTAATTGAAATTGCTGATGCAAACATTTTTATTGGTAATGATAATTTATAGCGTGGGTATGGTTAGGCTGGCAATGAGTCCAGCGACCGGGCCCTATAAAGGTTAGGCCAAAGCTACAAACGGTGGCCCGAGAGCTGGGATAGAACAAATGCTTGTCCGGTTTGACCAGGCCCGGCCTCTTTCTTTCATTTTTTTTTTTTAATTTTTTTTCAATTTCTTTTCTTTCTGGCCCGGTTGTATGAGGACAAGGGCAAAGCCGGGCTTGGTCCCTGGCACGGCCTGTTGCCACCCTAGTTTTATGGTCGGTGAATTTCATGTCGTGCAGACAGCAATGGTTCGGGTACACCAATGGGTTCATGTACAACAATGGTGTGTGATATGGTTCCCTAGAATTATTGCTCGGTGTAATTTAATTCACAAGCGACATGTCACGCCACAAGTGACTCTAACAATAAAGTCGGGCACGCATCACGAATCAATGAAAGCATTGGAACAAAAGGGCCTCAGGACTTATAAATATAAATATAAATATTTAGATTACACTGGGCCCATTTCTTTCAAACTAGGGTTTGGGGATCACAATGTACGTAAATGAGCACACAACTCGGGTTAAATGCTCCCAAAAGCTTTTTTTCTCTTTTTGTTTTTTGCTTTTTTTTTTTTTGACAAAGCAGCAGCAGGCCTTGCAATCAGTGAGAGAAACTTAATGGAGACCATTCCTACTATCCTAGGTTAGAGGCTTCGTCCTGCACAATTTCCTTTAGCAGAATGTTCTTTGAATTTCATGGGCCAGCTCCTCAGCACTCAGCTCACATTCAATTCCGATCTATACAAAACCAGAGAAAAACAAACACATATGAGAATCAAACAAGAACGATCATGAGCTTTTAAGCATGCTTAAATGAGCCAAACTCAATGCGATCCAATTTGTTTACGAATTAAAGGAAAATTTTCATGTGGGCTGGACCGCATTTTTACATATGCGGTCCAAAAGGAGTAAAGCATCCATCTTAAAGATGGATGTAAGTAGGTGTTTCATCTAAAAACAATATCAAGTACCAGTCCAAATGTTTTTTACTAGAATTGTTACTTCTAA